CCCAGGGCCTCATGCTTGTAAGGCAAGCACTCTACCGCTGAGCTACCTTCCCAGCCCCCTTTTTTTTTTGTCAGTCATGGGGCCTGGACTCTGGGCCTGGGCATCGTCCCTCAGCTCTTCAGCTCAAGGTTAGTGCTCTACCACTTGAGCCACAGTGCCACTTCCAGCTTTTTCTGCTTATGTGGTACTGAGGAATCGAACCCAGGGCCTCATGCATGCGAGGCAAGCACTCTACCACTGAGCCACCTTCCCAGCCCCTTGCTGCATGTTATTGTATATTTGCTTCCTGATTTTTTTATTGTGAAAATATCATACAGAGGGGTTACAATTATATGGACAAGATAATGAGTACATTTCTTATCAAGCATTGTTGCCTCCTCTTTTGTTTCCCCTTCCCATCCCTTCCCATCTCTGCCCCCCCCTTGCATCCTAATTTACTTATCTATTTCTGTATTTTATTTTCACCAGTACAGGGGCTTGAACTCAAGGCCTTTGGCTCTTATCTTTTTTGCTCAACGCCAGAGCTCTACCACTTGAGTCACCCATTTGGGGTCTTTAGGTTGTTTCCAATCTTTTTGTATTGTTACATAACTCTGACAATTTTTTATGCCAGTCCTGGACCTTGGACTCTGGGCATGGGCATTGTCCCTGAGCTTTTGTGCTCAAGGCTGGTACTCTACTTAGACCAAAGCTCCACTTCTGGCTTTTTGTGGTTCATTAGAGATAAGAGTCTCATGGACTTTCCTGTCCCAACTGGCTCTGAACCTCAATCCACAGATTTCAGCCTGAGCAGCTAGAATCCTAGCTGCTGTGTGAGCTGTGGGCGTCCATGACAGGTTGATTTGCTTTACATTAAGATTAAAACCTAGGCTTGTTGGCTATTTGGAAATTTTTTGAGCGGGGGTGTCAGTTTGTAAAAGGCTGGGTAATTTTTATTTGTTAACTTTTTTGTTGGTCCTGGGGCTTGAAACTCAGGGCCTGGGCACTGTCCCTAAGCTTCTTTTGCTCAAGACTAGCACTCTACCACTTGAGCCACAGCACCACTTCCAGCTTTTTCTGTGAATGTGGTACTGAGGAATGGAACCCAGGGCTTCATGCATGCTAAGCAAGCACTCTACCACTGAGCCCCCTTCCCAGTCCATATTGCCTTTCTTTTTTTTTTATTTTATTTATTTTTTTGAGGGGGGGTCCGGTCGTGGGACCTGAACTCTGGGCCGGGGCACTGTCCCTCAGCTCTTCAGCTCAAGGCTAGCGCTCTACCACTTGAGCCACAGCGCCACTTCCGGGTTTTTTCTTTTTGCTTATGTGGTGCTGAGGAATGAGGAATCGAACCTAGGGCCTCAGGCATGCAAGGCAAGCGCTCTACCACCGAGCCACCTTCCCAGCCCATATTGCCTTTCTTAAAGGCAATCAAGTGATAGACTAAAAAATATATAAGGGCTGGGAAGGTGGCTCAGTGGGAGAGCGCTTGTCTTGCATGCTCAAGGCCCTGGGTTCGATCCCTTGGCACCACATAAGCAAAAAGAAAAAAGCCAGAAGTGGCGCTGTGGTTCAAGTGGTAGAGTGCTAGCCTTGGGCTGAAGAGCTGAGGGACAGCGCCCAGGCCCAGAGTTCAGGCCCCACGACCGGACCAAAAAAAAAACTGGAAGTGGTGCTGTGGCTCAAGTGGTAGAACCTTAGCCTTGAGCACAAAGAGGCTTGGGGACAGGACCCAGACGCTTAGTTCAAGCCCCACAGTGGACAAAAAAGAAAAAGGAAATAAAGTCAGTAGGAGCCCTGGCAGGATTTCCCTTCTCCACAACAACCATGCCGCTGGCCACAGTGACGAATGTTATCCTGTGTGTGTTCTGTATTGGCTTCTCCAGCGGGGCTAATTGGCCAAGGTCATTGTCAAGGTCAGGATGGAAGTGGAGGAATAGTAATAACACTGACTTAGTGGCAGCCCCTCTCCACCCTCCACACACCCATGCAGGGGTCCTTCCCTCTTTTCCTGGGGTGTTGAACACCCGCTGAGATTCTTCCCGGGAAGGCAAATGAACTCAAATTCGTCATCGGTGTCACAGTGAGCTTTTATGGGGCCATTGAACTCCAGAACAACTGTATCCCAGGGGAGATAAGAGCAGCCTCAAGGCTATTCCACTTCGGGCACCCCAATTTCCCAGCTGGACTCTGCCTCTTGTTCTAAACAGACGCCATGATCCTGAGAGGAAAATCTAGGGAAGGAAGTGAAGAATCAGGAATTGGGGCCTCTGTCAGAGGGGGAATTTGGAGCACTGGGCCTGGGCGCTGTCCCTCAGCTCTTCAGCTCAAGGCTAGAGCTCTAACACTTGAGCCACAGCGCCACTTCTGGTTTTCTGGTGGTTAATTAAATATGAGTCTCATGGACTTTCCTGTCCAAGCTGGCTTTGAACCATGATCTTCAGATCTCAGCCTTCTGAGTAGATAGGATTACAGGTGTGAGCCACCAGCACCCAGATACCCCAGGGGCTTTCTGGATCTTGTATTCAGCAAGAGAACCAGCAGCATTGGGGATTCCTTGCATTCTTTTCTTTTCTTTTTTTGCCGGTCGTGGACTTGAACTCTGGGCCTAGGCGCTGTCCCTCAGCTTTTCAGCTCAAGGTGAGTGCTCTACCACTTGAGCCACAGCGCAACTTCCGGCTTTTTCTGTTTATGTGGTGCTGAGGAATTGAACCCAGGGCCTCATGCATGCAAGGCAAGCGCTCTACCACTGAGCCACCTTCCCAGCCCCTGCATTCTTGCCACTTCCGGCTTTTTTTCTTTTTGCTTATGTGGTGCTGGGGAATCGAACCCAGGGCCTCATGCATGCAAGGCAAGTGCTCTACCACTGAGCCACCTTCCCAGCCCTGCCCCAGCTGGCTTTAAACCCAGATCCTCAAATCTCAGCCTCGTGAGTTACAGGTATGAACCACAGCACCCAGCTCAAGCATTATGTATGCTTCATCAGTCTGTCCTCAATTGAGGACCTACAAGGTTACTGGACTCGATCCAAAGGAACCTTGAATACAAGCTGGGCGCCTATAATCCTAGCTGCTCTGGAGGCTGAGATATATGAGGATTGAACTTTTGTTGTGGGGCTGCTCAAAGCCAGCACTCTACCACAAGAGCCACAGTGCCACTTCCTGTTTTCTGGTGGTTTATTGAAGAGTCTCCCATGGGCTTTCCCACCCGGTCTGGCTTTGAACCACAATCCTCAGATCTCAGCCTCCTGAGTAGCTAGTGGCATGAGCCACTGGCCACAGGCTGAGAATTGAAGTTTGAAGCAGAAAAGTCCATGGGACCCTTATCTCC